CCCCCCGGCTCGTCACACCCGCTCACCTGGCACAAGAAGCTCAGTCTCCCGATCGCAGAACTTGGGGAAAGCAATAGCGAGATTTCAGACCGCCCGGGTATGCCAAATGATCTTGGCAAAAAGACCCAAAACCGGTGAGATAACTAAGTACACTGGACGGGAACTTCTGACCTACAATCAGTGAGGACGGCAGCCCGTGTAAGGGTGAAAGTGAAATCAGAAATGAGGATTTCCAGCAGGAAGGAAGGAAACGCTCTAGTGACTAAAACACTCGTTGGATGGCTTACTGGTGTGAGGATGAGTTTCCATAGCAAGTAAATTTCGCCTGTGAGAAAACTTTCTGACAGATCTAAGGAAAAACTAAAAAGCACTTTTACTGATAATTAAGTATGTTGATTTTTCAGTGTTAGGACATGTTAGGAGCCCCACTTGTTGGAATCGTATTGAAATGATCTCGCATCATTTAGAAAATTAACCATGTAAGAATTAAAATCAGATTAGGTTGCAAAATCATAATTTATGGTGCACATTTATAGCAATCAATATAAATAAGGTGAAGCTCCTAAGTTTCAGACTGAAGGTCTGTGATAGTCACATACCATCAAAGGGGGTCTCGCTGGCTGTGCAGGGGGTCAAGTCTCAGCACTGTCAAGCTATTGGCAGCCGCTGCAGCGGGAGTCCATCCCCGGCCAGGGAGGGCCCAGGGCACAGCCGACCCCTCCTGTCTCCCCGCTGCTCCCCTCAGCAGTGGGTTTCAGGGGACCCGCCTGTTCTGCTCCCCGCTCTGTCTCTGGGGTCCTCTCCCAGCCATCCAACAAGTGTTTTATTCATTACAAGCGGTCTCCTTCCTTCCTAAAGGAAATACTCATTTCTGATTTCACTTTCACCCTTACACTGGGGCTGCACCTGTACCCCAGAGGTAAACAACCCTTTCTTTAAGAAGAACATGCAAACACAGAGCCCTAGGATTCGGAATAAATAGCCTTACTTGTTCTCTCATTGCTAATGCTGATTTTGTAACATTTTTTCCTTTGAAAATAATGGTGGGGATTTGTCCTTTATTACTGCTCAGTCTTTATCCTCTACACACACACACAGTTGAAATCAAGTATCTGAGCGTCTGAACACTCAGGGGACACGCAGGTGTTCAGCAGCCCAACGCTTCCCTTGCTTGCCGGGAACGAAGGAAGCAGGGGAGACCCCTCTCCCCAGGGCTCACAAAAACAACTGTTCTGATTTCCATTTCCAAGCTGATATCCCGACAGCAGCCGCCGGCCTCCCAGGCAGCCGGGAGCCGCAGCCTCGCTGCAGCGCGCGGTCAACGGCAGTGGCCACGGCGCAGCCTG